CTCTCTTTCTTTCTCTCTCTTTCTCTCTTATCCTTCTCCTTCTCCTTCTTATCCTTCCATCTTCCTTCTCCTCTTCCTCTTCCATCCTTTTCCCAAAGGTGATTTTTCCAAGAGGCAACTGGACTTTCTTGTTTTTCTTTGAAGACATTTCGCTTCTCATCCCAGAAGCTTCTTCAGGTTCTGACTGGATGGTGGGGAAAGTCAGGATTTATATTCCTTGCAGACAGCTGGTCCTTTGCCTTCTTTCAGAGAGTCGTTGAGGCCACTTGGAGGTTTATCTGTGTCCTCAGGGTCACCCAAGGGGTGCAAATGGGTGTTGAGGCTTCTTGGAACAGCTGAAAGGACTGTGTTGCACGCCCATTTGCACTACTCAGGTGACCCTGAGGACCCAGGTAAACCTCCAAGTGGCCTCAACTAAAAGAAGACAAATGACCAGCTGTCTGCAAGGAATATAAAGCCTTCCATTCTCCACCATCCAGCCAGAGCTGATGAAGCTTCTTAGATGAGAAGCGAAAGGTATAAGTATAAGAATAGAATAGAGCTGGAAGGGACCTTGGAGGCCATCTAGTCCAGCCCCTGCTCAAGCAGGAGAATCTATATCACGGGTGTCAAACTCGCCACGTCACGTGATGTGTTGTGAATCTTTTTGCATTGCCGGCAATGGGGGGGGGGCTCGGCTTCAGTATGATGAAACTGGCCTGCGGGCTGGCAGTTTGACACCCCTGATCTATACCATCTCAGACATCTCATCCCTAAACAAAGATGATCAGGGGACTGGAGGCTAAAACATACAAGGAACGGTGGCTGGAATTGGGTCTGTCTAGTTTAATGAAGAGAAGGACGAGGGGGGACAGGATAGCAGTCTTCCAGTATCTCAAGGGCTGCCCCAAAGAAGAGGGAGTCAAGCTATTCTCCAAAGCGCCTGAAGGCAGGACAAGAAGCAACGGATGGAAACTAACCAAGGAGAGAAGCAACCTAGAACTAAGGAGGAATTTCCTGACAGTGAGAACAATTAACCAGTGGAACAACCTGCCTCCAGAAGTGGTGAATGCTCCAACACTGGAAGTTTTTAAGAAGAGACTGGACAGCCATTTGTCTGAAATGGTATAGGGTTTTCTGCCTGAGCAGGGGGTTGGACTAGATGACCTCCAAGGTCTCTTCCAACTTTATCATCATCATCATCATCATCATCATCATCATCATCATCATCATGTGGCTGTCCAGTCTCTTCTTACAAACCTCCAGTGATGGAGCATTCACCAGTTCTGGAGGCAGGTGGTTCCACTGGTTAATTGTTCTCACTGTCAGGAAGTTTCTCCTTAGTTCTAGGTTGCTTCTCTCTTTGGTTAGTTTCCATCCGTCGCTTCTCGTCCTGCCTTCAGGCGCTTTGGAGAAGAGCCGGACCGCCTTTGACACCTTCCAAGAAAAGCAAGGATGTCCCGTTGCCTCCTGGAGAAGCCCCCATCTTCTGAGGGTCTCCGGGAGGGGGGGAGGCAGGCTGGAGAAGGCCCCTCCCTCGCTGGCCCACGTGGCACAACCAAGAAGTAGAAGTCCTTTTCGCCCTTTTGCTCCTGTCGCAAGCCTCTCCTCTCCAGCCGGCGTAAACCGCTTCAGGCTGTTCTTCCGCTGGCGGAGCGCAGGAGAAAGCGCGCAGAGGAATTCTGGCTGGAGAGGGGAGGCTGGCAAAGGGGTCTCGTCCTTCCCAGGATCCCCCCCGGCTGCGCAGCAGGGAACTGTCTCCCCTGCTCTTGCGACCCCCGTCCTTCCTTCCCGGGCAGGGGTCCCAGGCAGCCCCGGGGACGGCTGCTCCCTGCGGACCCTCCCTGTTCAGCTGCTCCGCTTCCAGCTCTCACCTGCTATATTCCAAAGGGGCTTTCCTGGGTTTGTCAAGGTCAATGCCCCCCACCCCGGCCTCCACGCCCCCTCCCCACAAGGGTGGGAGCGCAGCAGATCCCCGGAGACCACCACCCCCGTTGCAGACCCCCCCCCTTTGCAGCCGACCTGTGATGAGAACCGTCTTGCCCCGCAGGCTGACCGCGTTCCGGCACCGGGTGGCCGCCACCAACTTGTAGTAGAGCAGCGCGTAAAGCCCCAGCAGCAGCGCCGCGCCCGCCAGCAGCGTCCCAGCCGCATCCATGGCCCGCGAGTGTTTCCCTTCCGCCCGGAGAGGCCCCGCCCCGCGTGGGGAAGCCCCGCCCACCCGCAGAGCCCCCACCCTCTTGCCCTCCCCTTGGATGCAGCAATCTGAATGTTGATCATGTAACCACGGGGATGCTGCAACCGTCATAAGTACATGCCAGTTGCCGAGCGTCTGAATTTTGATCACTTGACTACAGGGACGCTGCAACTGTCATAAGTACATGCCAGTTGCCAAGCTTCCGAATTTTGATCACGTGACCACGGGGATGCTGCGACCGTCATAAGTACATGCCAGTTGCC